AATCCATGCATAGTTTTTGCATAACCTGCATTTTGTGTGAACAGTTTGAAGCACTCTCGACTTGCTTTCTCCGTAGGTGCAGGGTGGGCAGCAATGCAGAAGAGGTCTACATCAGTTTCTTACTCACCATGTAACAACAAGAAAAAAAAAAGATTCTATTTTAGAAAGTAAAAAAAAAAAAAAAAAAAAAAATCTTAGCCAATAGGGGACAGGAAAGGAACCCAACCCTGATGATCTCACTCTCCCAGCCGCAAAGGAGACTGTGAATTATCTAGGACCCAGGGGAATTCCAGCTGTCACCAGGCTGCACTAGCTAAGGTGGAGAAAACCCAGGGAGCCAGGAAGGCAGTATCCATCACAGTGGCTCTACTGGACCCAGGAGGTAAGGGATGCTAGCACAGTGCTAAAGCACAGCCTAGCAGCCTCTGCCTGCAGAACCACACCCCCACACCCCCACCCTCGCTCTCCCTGGCACCCTGCTGGGTTTAATCCCCCTCCTCCACATCACCTCTTGTGGTCTCCTGCATAGCCACACTGCTCTTTTTTCTGCCTTTCTCATTCTAGAGCAGGTATTGGAGAATGCTCCAAGCCTGAGAACTCACACCATCTACCTCTGGTTCAGTCTTCATTTGCATAATGGTGGCAACTCCAGCTCCATCGTAGGTGTCATCCCTTCTCCAGAACCTCAGTTATCCAGTGATTAAGAGTGTGGACTCTAGGGCCCGACACGGTAGCCTAGCAGCTAGAGTCCTTGCCTTGCATGTGCAGGGATCCCATATGGGCACCGGCTCGTATCCCTGTGGCCCTGATTCCCATTCAGCTCCCTGTTTGTGGCCTGGAAAAGCAGTTGAGTTCGGCCCAAAGCCTTGGGACCCTGCACGTGTGTGGGAGACCAGGAAAAGGCTCAAGACTCCTGACTCCTTGCTTCAGATCAGCTCAGCTCTGACCATTGCAGCCACTTGAGAAGTGAATCAATGAACAGAAGATCTTCTTTCTGTCTTTCCTCCTTTGTATATCAAACTTTCCAATGAAAATACATAAATCAGAAAAAAAAAAAAACCAGAATGTGGGCTCTAGTAGCTGGTGCCACAGCATAGCACCCTAAGCTTCTACAGTGGCCTCCCATATGGGTGCCAGTTCATGTCCTAACTGTTCCACCTCCAATCCGGCTCTCTGCTTGTGCTCTGGAAAAGCCACTGAGGCTGGCCCACGGCTTTGGACCTCTAAAAACATGTGGGAGACTCAGAAGAAGCTCCTGATAACTGGCTTCGCATTGTCTCAATTCCACCCCTTGAGGTCATTTGAAGAGGGAACCAGTACTATAGCTCTCCTCTCTGTAAATCTGCCTTTCAAATCATCAATGGATTTTTTTAAAAAGAGGGGGAGGTGTGGGATTTGGAATTAGACCTCATTTGGTACCCCAGCTCCGTCACTAATGACCTAGGTTAGATGCAAGCCCTCCAAGCTTTTTTCTTGTCATGAAATAAACTCACACCAGTGCACTGACTGTTACAGCATCCAAACACTTCCAAACCAATTGGTAGATAATCATTGCCCTTATTCCTCTACCTCCCAGACCCAACCCTGCCTGTTCCATTTGATCCAATGGTTTAATTTAGCTACTAAGGCTAGCATCCATCCCGGTGAATAATGCCCATATCTGAATGAATTGATGCGTGTATTTCAGTGCTACCCCTCTTTGTGATTCAATGAGATGATGTGGACTTGGGACATAGCGCAGAGCCTGGTGCACATGTGAAGGCGCTAGCTCGGTCAGTGTCAGCTCTTAGTGCTTTAAACACCAAATCTGGAGAGAGAGAAACAGGATCAGGATGTGGGTCAGTGTTGTATGGTATGAGCAGGTACAACCAGGTTATGAATGGCAGCTCAGGAGCAGCCATAGAGCTCCAAGATGATTCATGATCTGACCGGGTAGAGTAGCTGGCTGAAGTTACATACTAGCTTCCCACAGTCAAGGAGGACTTCCTTTGGTTTTACCTACTACAGGTCTATGTCACTGGAAACCCAAATTTTATTGCCTGCGATAGAGAAGTTTCTTCCAGGAGACAGGACTTTGTCTTCTGATGCCTTTGCGAGTCAGAAACGAATGTTCCAATCCAAGGTGACTCCTTGAAGGACCCCTAGCAGAGGCAGTACTGTGTCTAGGAGCGTGGACTCTGGAACCAGACAGCTTGGGTTGAAATCCCAGCTGTGTGTGGTGAACTCGGACCAGCCACCTGCCCTGCTGTGTGCTTTGATTCTTCACGTATTGAAACGGAACAACAGTACCTTCTGTGGAGTTGTCATGAGGAATTGGTTGGGAAATGCGTACCCCTGCATATTCCAGACCACCACTGGAGGCCTGGAGGCACAGCCTAGTGAAGCCAGCTATCCTAGTTTAACTCACGCTTTTGCATTTTGAGGTGCAATAGCCAAGTTAGCCTAAATTTATATTTCTGTTTTCACTATTTCACAGGTGGAAGATTGGTTTTTGCTGTAGATCTTAGCAATCAGCATGCGATTCCCTCTTCCTCCTTAGTGACAAGAACATTCACCTTTTTCAGTTTCCCTTTAGCATATCTGAATTTCCACAGTCACTACCCTTGTGCTTTTTGGTCTAAGTCAAAGAAGGGTTACACAAATAGGGCCCAGCATGATGGCTCAGTGACTAACTCTTCATCTTACAAGAGCCAGGAGCCCATATGGGTGCCAGTTTGAGTCCCAGTTGCTCTGTCTGCTTCCTTGCAGCTCCCTGCTTGTGACCTGGGAAAGCCGTACAGAATAGGCCAAAGCCATGGGACTCTGCACCCATGTGAGAGACCCGGAAGAAGTTCCTGGCTTCAGATTGGCTCAGCTCCAACCACTGCAGCCATTTGGAGAGTGAACTAGTGGATGGAAAACCTTTCTCTGTCTTGCCTCTCTCTGCATGTCCAGCAACAATAATTAAAAAAAAAAAAAGTAAAAAAAATAAGTAAATCTAAAAAAGAAATGTTACTTGAATACAAACACTCTGATGCTATGACAGTCTTTCTGATCACCAAAATGGCTGCTAGATCACTACTGCTGAAAGTCACGGAAAATGAGCTAATTCACACCACAGGTGGGATGAGGAGGAGCTGGACCGGGCAAGGTCTAATCATGTCAGTCTGAACGGAATGCAATTTTGCACTAACGAACTGTTTCTCGAAATTTTCACTGAACATTTTCAGACCACAGTTGATCAGGGTGATGGGAACAATGACCTCAATACTACAGGTAAGAGGGATGAGGGCACTTGATGCAAAACAAGCTCTGAGTATATACCACCTGTGGTTGGGGGGCTGGAGCCATCAGATTCGCCCCCACAAGATCCTGTACCGGGACGTTCTTCATCCTTATGGTTCAGCTCCCATGGTTTCCCCTCCGTTCTTTGGGCTTCCTCTCTCAGCTCTAGCACTTTCAGTCTTGGAGGCTCAGAGTGAGAAAAAGTCTTGCTTACACTCAAATGTGGACTCACAGCCAAAGCCGGGAAGCCATTGTAAGATTTCAGATCCCACGTCCTTGCATCTTAGATGATGTTTGCCTGGAAGCAAAGTTCACTATTGCCCATCTCTGGATCTCCAGGGTCCAGAGCAGACACCTGGGCAACTGAAAGAGGTTGGGCATTCAAACATCTGCCACACCTGCTCTTTAGAAGTCACCAACCACAGCATGTGCCTTGGGACTCTATCCTGCACCAGGTACCTTTGGTCGTAGCCCACCGCCTAGAGAACAGAGCAGCAAACCAAGCTCAGAGTGTTGTGGGATGGTTCCTCCTGGGCGAGTATAGCCGGAGCAAAGCTTCGCTCAGTTCCTAGATGGTGGGTCTTCCATCCCTCATCGCCCAGCCCACCTCTGCAGCAGCCGCTCAGACCCAGCCCCTTCCCAACCCCGCCGCCCGTGCCCTTTAGAATCCGTGTTCCCATTTGACCAATCCCCAGGCGCCCGGCCCCACTTTTGACAGCTCTCTGGAAGTCCCGTCCCCGCACGTGGCCCAGCCAGGAGATAACTGCTCCCCTTGTCAACCCCCCAGTTTAGCGTAAAAAGGTCTCTTGGCCCAGCTTCATATCGGAAGCTCTCAGATCCATGGGGGCATCCCAGGCTGGGCTTTGGAAAGACCCCCAAGCGGGGGTTGGGGTGGAGGAGTTGTTCCCAAGGCCCTGAAACCTTCCAGATCCGCTCTGTGTAAACCGCCTCGGGTTTGTGTCAACATCCGAGGCCGGAGACTGGCGGCGGCTGGGGACCGGCTCTGTCTACGGGACGGGAAGACAGGAGGGTGGGTAATGGAGGAGGCCGTGGGGTGGCCGTAGGAGACCTGCCAAGAAAGAAGGCGTGCCTATTTGGAGCAGGGTCGCAGCTGAGGGCTGCGGGGTGATGCTGAGAACCCCCGACAAGCGGGGGCCAGCGTCCACGCCGCGCACACTGCACCCCCTCGGCTCCGAGCGACGCGTGCAGAAGTGGGTATTGCCGACCACTCATTTCCTCCCCGGCACCGCCCACCCCCGCACTTGGCCGCTCCCTGCTGCCCCCGTCCAATTTCGGGAGGGTTATGGAGGTGGAGGGTGGGGGTCTTGTGACTCATCCCCTCTTCCACCCCCATCCCCGCTAAGGCCCGGGGAAGAGATGGCTTCGAGATTCAGCTGTGGTTCTCTTGTTTCCATAGCAACTGTGAGGTTGTTTTTGCGCCTCCACTTCCTCAGTCGTCGGCACTTTTCATCCCACACTACGGCCCCGGGTCTGAGGCTGTTCGGCGTGAGGGTCCAGCTAGGGGTCCAGCCTCCCCCTTCCTGGCCACTGCGGGAAGGTCACCAGCGCGGGCGGGCGGGGCGCGCTCCGGTCCCCTGGCCTCTCTGGCCGCCCATCCCCACCTGAAACTCCGCCTGCCACTCTGTCCGAAGGAGCCAATCCGCATCCGAGCATCCCGGGCCGGGGAGGGGTTTATGCAAACCGTGTCGTCTGTGAGAAGCACTGAGTGCTACAAGAGCTGGGAGGAGGCTCCGGCGCGGACCTCCGAGATCCCTGCTCCAGCCGGAGAGCCAGCCTCGTCCCTGAGGCCCGCCGAGGCTCGGGAGCCCTCAGCCACCGGGCAAGAGGCCTCAGGTAATGCGCGCGGATGGGGCCGGGCCCTGGGGTCACCCTCTGCTGTCCTCCCCCTGCGCTCTCCATTCCCATCTTCATCTCCTGTCACCCTCCCCACCACTCCCATTCATCTTTCTGACCCGGTTCTGCCTGACGGGGCTCGCCCCTCGGCAGGGGACCCTCACCGCAACCCAGACCTCACAGGTGTTAGAGCGGCTCATGTAAGAAGAACCCTTGCCCTAGCACCGCGCGCGAGCGCGCGTGCGCGCGCGCACACACACACACACACACACACACACACACACACACACACAGCTACCTGTGGCATTGCCAACACTGATGGAAGCTCCAGTCACCATCCCTCCTGCTATATTTGGAGCAGGGGACTCTGTCCAGCTTTGTGGCTACCTCCCACCTCCTCACACAGCCCCCACCCCCAGAAGCCCCATTGCACTTCACCGGGGGTCCCACCCACACACACAGCCTCCACTCTTCCTCCTGCTGATCCCCACCCCCCTGCCACATTGCACCCATTTGACAGAGCTCATAGTCACCCGAGGGAGACAAGAATCCTTCCATGGGGGCCACATTCCCAGCGACCTTCCCACAGCGATCCCCAGTGCTAGGCGGAAGATCCCCCTAGCTGGCCTCCAGGTCCTGGGGGTTTCTGCCAAGCCCCCTGCCCCCACACCTGCTGATTTCCTCTTAAACCTCACAGCGGCCTGCTGAGTCTCCTGTATCTTTCTAATTCCTATCTGCTCCGCCTTGGTGCACCTGGCTGCTCTCACTTTCCCACTTTTTTGCTGCCCTATGGGGACAGTGCTGGAGCCCCATGTGGATGTGGCACTTTTGTCCTTAAAGCCAGAACCAGAAGGGTTTGAGAGCTGGGTTCAGATCCCACCTTGGCCTCAGCAGCTTGCTGATTTGGCCAAGTCTCTTTCTTTTGATTCTTTGTAAAATGGGGCTAAGGCAACAGGACAGAGGATGGGGCTGGATGATCTTCAGCAGCCCCTGACACTGACCCCTCTGGGTCCAATTCTGATGGAGGGAAAATAAGACCCCAAACCATTAGGACATCTCAGAAGGGAGGCCTGGAGGGCTTCAGATCCGTGTAAAGGAACACTGCTTATCACCCAGGGCCTGGGCACAGGCTGCCCCCTTACACGCATTTCTTTCAGGAGTCCCTCTTCAACCACCAGTCAGCCTTGGCTTGGGCAGCACTGAATTGGAGGAGGCCACCAGGGCCTTTGTCATTCCTTGCCTCTCATGAAGACAAGGGAGAAGACCTGGGCACTGCTGCCATTGCTGCTGCCCAGAGAAAGGCTAAGGGAGGAGAGGAAAGAGAAAAATCTCCTGACCAGGGAGCTGTTGTCACCATGGCAACCGCCTCAGCACCAGCTCCTCTGGAGCTGTGTGAGGGTGTGGGATTCTTGCTTCCTTCATTCCCGCCTACCCTCACTGCCACCTTCCTGTGCAAAACCCACAGCCCTGACCCCCCTAGAAAAATCTCTTGAGCTCAGAGGGGCTGTGGCTTGGGGAGCCAGGCAGTGCTACCTGCATGGTGGCCAGGAGATAACTCTCCAGAGGTAAGCAGAGGAAACTGCCCGTGTCCAGTAGGGCCCTGGCTGCAGAAGAACATGCCCCTAGCCGTGCTCTGGCCTTTGCCTGGTTGCTGATGGGCTCTGGCTGGCCTTGCCTGAACCTGTCCTTACTCTGGCTCTGGGTTCCATGGTCTCTGAACGGTGTGACAGCTGGAGAACACAGATAAACAGAACAACCTGACAAGTTCCAAGATGGAAGAAGGTCTGTTCTTGTCACATCACTGAACATCACTGTGTCCTTGGCCCTGCCAGGAGGTCTCTGCAGCATGGTTCTGTGCTGGCCCTGAGGGCAGGGTGGGAACCAGGGCTGGGGAGCTCTTGAGAGAGAAACACATTTCTCGCTTTTTGAGCTGCTCAGAGTTGGCCTGGGTCATATGGGAGAGCAAAGTGCCTGGAGAACTTTTCCTGACTGGTAGGTCTTTCATGCAAAGACCTTTGTGCAGTCTAGACTCTTGGAGCACCAGCTGAGGGTCGGGAGGGTCTAAAGTCTGCATGTATGAGTCAGGTGCAGGGTACCCCAAAGCCCCACAGGGCCTGCTCACACCCAAAGCACTGAATCCACACTGATCATGGCCCCCTTTGCATACACCTGAAAGGGCTGATCTTGAGTGAGTGGGGCTGCAGCCAGGCCCTCACGGCTGACTGTAGCTTGTAGCCAGGAGACAAGAAAGGACGTATGGAGAGAGAGAAAGAACAACACACAGGTGAGGCACACTCCAGCTGTGAGAAGCTTGGCTTGAGAAGAGTGCAGCAGTGAAGGGAGCAGGGGGAAGTGAGGCTAGGCAAATTGTAGATAATTCTGGAATGCCAAAGGACCCAGGGCTTATATTATATCTCTGGCAGGTAGGGAAACCTTACCCCAGAACAGAGAAATCTAAACCAAGGCATTTCCTGTGAAGCAGATGCATCCCCACGGGCCTGGGCTGGGCTTGGCAAGCTCAGTGCCAATTGGCCTTCAGCCCCCTTGAGTGGTACCCTGGCTCTGGACACAGCGAAGCACTTGCAGAAAAGAGACTAGAGGACTTGGTGGTCAGTTAAACCTAGGGAAGAGGGGAAGACTGAAGGTAAGAAAGATTTCCTCCCATCTCTGAGTTGAGGAGCATCTCAGGAGGAGGATGAGCCTGCTGTGGACACACTGACTCAGAGGTACCACTGAGCATTCCAGAGGTGGATGTTTTGTGATCATCAGAAAACTGGCCAGAAACTGTCGGAAACTGCTCAGGCAAGATGATCCCCCAATGGTAACAAATAATTTAAAAAATTTCAATCTCTCAGATATTCGAGGTACACCGTTTCAAATAGCTTTCTGTTAGAGAATGTGTGGGAACTAGTTTAAACATTTCATTTCACAGTTGTTAGTGGTATAAACCCTTGCTGAAACCAGATCATGCGTTTCTCATAAGGATGGCCTTGTTCTTTGCTGTTTCTCAACTATCTGTCAGCCTGATCCCTACGGTGCTGCCACACACACACTGTGACACACACACAGGCATGTGTGTGCTGACACTGACAACCTCCCACACAGAGAACCAACCCTCACGCAGCACTCAGTCACTTCCCACGGGAGACAGCGGGAAGAGACTGCCTCCTCCATCCGACTCCTCTGCCTGTGAGTTCCCCAGCTTCTGTGACTACACCCTGTGCCTGCAGGTTCCTTTGGATTTGGGGAGGGGTAGCTGGGAATGGAATCTGCCTCTTTCTTTCCAGCGGAGTTCCAGAGGCATCCAGGCCTGTCTCTCTTTGCTGTCTCCCAGAGGAGTAGGGGGTGGTGGTTATTGCCACCCTGATCTTCCTCATGGTCCGGTGGAGCCATCTGAGCTCCACAGATGTCCTGTAACCAGCCTGAGGTCTTGTGAAAGGACGTGAAGCACATCACCCCTAGACCTCGTTGTTAAGGGCAAACACACGGACAAAGGCCTCATTAGCTTGGGAGAGATAGTGGAAGCAGAATTCCCTTGCCAGAGGACATGCACCCAGGAGTGGAGGCCTGGACCCCTTCCAAACAGATGCTAGGCAGGTCACAGGTGCTTTGTGAGCCACGTGCTTCCTGTGCAGGTAAGAGAGGAATGCCTATCCTACATCTGGGGCCTGGCCAAAATTCCAGGGGAAGGCCTGGTCCCACTACCTGTGGACACCTTCCCTGGCACAGGCTCACATTCCAGCCAGGGAACAACCTGATTTGCGTCTCCACACCAGCACCTCCATTCTGTCCCAGCGCTGAGCACCTGCCTCCACCCCTTTATCTCAACCTCACATGCAGTCCCTGCAGGATCACATGCTACAAGGCCCCCCTCTCATCCCCTTCATCTGTCCCATTTCTCCACAACCCCATTGTAGTGTCTTCCGCTCTTACCTGAATTGTGTGACAATGCCCCCTCTTCATTCCACCTACCTGTCTCTGACCCCAGGTGAGCTTACACCCTGCAGCCCAAGGAAAGGTTTGAAAACACGCTCCTTCCCTCGGGATCCCCACCACCTGTCCCCCACAGGTGAAATCCAGACTCCTTGGCATGGATTGAAAGCTTTGTCTAGTTCCACATCTACCTTTTCCACTCAATTATCAGCTATCGAAGCTTGGCTGTGTCTGCTTTATCTCCGTCCCTGGCACAGGGCCTAGCACACAGTCAGCCTCAATACATGCTCAGGGAATGCATGGATTAATGATAAGCAGAATGTAATCAGGTCATCAGTGCTCAGGGCTGGGGTTTCTGTGTGTGCAGAGGAAGGAGGGGGAGAGAGACTTCCTGCCGGGGTGTCTCAGAAATGCCTTCAGGAAGAACTCACAGGAGACAATGTCAGGGAAACACACAAATGGCTTCGATCCCTGGTAGGAGAGGAGCCTGCCAGGGAGGGCAGGGGCTGAATGCAACCAGTCCTACACAGCCAGGAAAGTGCCAAGGCTTTGTTCTGGTGTGGACAGTGGCAGGTGTGCACGAGAGAGGAGAGACTGGAGGGAGTGGTCAGCTGTAGCTTGGGTGCCCAGAAGATGGGAGATGGAGAGCTGCTGTGAGGAGGAAGAAGATCTGCTGCAAAATGCAGGGAGCTGGGAGGGAGAGGAGTCTGGGCTGAGGGCGGTGGGAGGGGGGGGATTTTAGCGGAGCCATGTGTGGTGGTGGGGCCTCCTGAAGGATGAAGTCCTGGCTGGAGCAGGGTCTTGTGGAGGGAGGGAAGGCTGCTGCCTGGGAACGTGGCCTTGGGGGCCAGGTCAGAGGGAGCCCTCTATCCCCCAGGCCCCGCCATGGGGAAGACCAACAGCAAGCTGGCCCCCGAGGTGTTGGAAGACCTGGTTCAGAACACGGAGTTCAGCGAGCAAGAGCTGAAGCAGTGGTACAAGGGCTTCCTGAAGGACTGCCCCAGCGGCATCCTCAACCTGGAGGAATTCCAGCAGCTCTACATCAAGGTGGCTGGCCAGAACGCGGCAGCTGGCGGAGGGGAACGAGACCCTGAACGCTCCGCGGGGCGGGAGGGCAAGGCTGGGATGGGGTTGTGGGGGGAGCTCCCGCACGCGCCAACCTCCTGCTCTCGCCCGCAGTTCTTCCCCTACGGCGACGCCTCCAAGTTCGCGCAACACGCTTTCCGCACCTTCGACAAAAACGGCGACGGCACCATCGACTTCCGGGAATTCATCTGCGCCCTTTCGGTCACCTCCCGGGGGAGCTTCGAGCAGAAACTCAACTGGGCCTTTGAGATGTATGACCTGGACGGCGACGGGCGCATCACCCGCCTGGAGATGCTTGAGATCATCGAGGTGCGCTGGGGTGGGCTGGGGCCCCCAGGAGTCAATCAGGGGGCTCTGACTGCAGCGCTTCAGTCCTTCAACAAGCAGATATTACCACACCTGACACCTGTCAGTCAGTGCAAAGTTTCTGCTTTCACCTGACATTGCTTCTGGTGAGATGTTTTATTATTTGGAACGCAGAGAGTGAGAGAGAAATCCCATTTCCTGGTTCAATCCCTAAAATGCCAAAGCCAGGAACTGGAAACTCCATCCAGGTCTTCCACATGAGTGGCAGGGACCTACCAATTGAACAGTCACCTATTGCTTCCAGGAAGATACACTGGCAGAAAGCTGGGATCTGGAATGAAACCAGGACTCGAATCTAGGCACTCCAATGTGGGCTTCAGGGGTCCCAAGTGGTATGTTAACTGCTGTGCCAAATGTTCAGCTCCTAGTGAGAAATTGAAAATGAGTAAGGCCATCGCTTTTCCCTAAGTGCTAGGACAGAGATAAGCCAGGCTAAAGAAGGAATGACACAGGAGAAGTGATTTTCTGTGCAGTGGAAAGGGAAAGCTGGTCCCAGATGTGGGTGAAGAGGGACCAGCAAACTTGGGTCATTGTATTTACAAGTGTTCAAAGAGAGCTGGGGAGAAGAGTGGTAGCAGGTGGAGCTGATGGGGAGCCAGGAGCCCAGTCCCTGAGTGGCTTGTGCTAGGGGGAGAAGACTGAGTTTATTCTGAGTGAGATGGAAAGTTCTAAGTGAAAGCTCCAGGTTACGCAAGGAGGGCAAGGGCACCAGAGGCAGGAAGACCAGTTGGTAGACTTCCTTGTAATCCAGTTGTGAGCTCGGTGGAGCTACAGTCGCCGAGATGCCAGGAAAATGGGAGGACGAGGTTAATAGGAATTTACTGAAATGTCGGAGCCAGCAAGGTTTGCTGAATGGTCATCTAGGGAGTGTGATGAGGAAGAAAGCCAAGAATAGCATGAGGGTTTTTGTTCTCAACAATGGGCAGGGTGAAGTTGGTGTTTACAGGGGCAGAGGATGCTGTGTACGGAGCTGGCTGGACAGAAGATTTGGGATTTAGACAAGAAAGAGAGTTGATCTCCCATCTTCACGCTCCAAATGCCTGCTACAACCAAGGCTGAACCAGGCCAAAGTCAGATAGAAATTCAATCAAGGACCAGGTGCAGTAGCCTAGTGGCTAAAGTCCTCACCTTGCATGTACCAGGATCCAATATGGGTGCCTGTCTGTATCCTGGGTACACCACTTCCATTCCACTCCCTGCCTGTAGCCTGGGAAAACAGTCGAGGACAGCTCAAGGCCTTGGGACTCTACACCCATGTTGGAGACCCAAAGAGGCTCCTGGCTCCTGGCTTCGGATTGACACAGGTCCAGCCATTGTGGCCACTTGGGGAGTGAACCAGTTGATGGAAAATCTTTCTCTCATTCTCTCTGTATATCTGCCTTTCCAATAAAAATAAAATAAATCTTTAAAAAATTCAATTGAGATCTCCCACATGGGTGACAAGGATCAATCTACTTGAGCCATCACCTGCTACGTAAGGGAAAAGCTGGAATTAGGAGCAAGGCTGAGACTCTAACCCAGCCCCTACCATATGGGATACAAGCATCCCTGGTAGGGACTTAATGGCTAGACCAAATGCCAGTCCCAACTATGCAGCCTAAGTGATCTTCCATCATCCTTGGCCTCCCATGGTGTTGGCCCTGTCCAGCTCTTATCTTTTTCCTTCACTCTCTAACCCTTCTGGCACCTTAAGGATACTTACATTCTTCTTTTCTCACCCCCACCAGGCTATCTACAAGATGGTGGGAACCGTGATCATGATGCGCATGAACCAGGATGGGCTCACACCCCAGCAGCGTGTGGACAAGATCTTCAAGAAGATGGATCAGGACAAGGATGACCAAATTACCCTGGAAGAGTTCAAGGAGGCGGCTAAGAGTGACCCGTCCATCGTGCTGCTGCTACAGTGTGACATGCAGAAGTAGAGGCTGGTGAGGGGCTGGGCCCCTGGCCAAGACAGGCATGGTCACCTCCTCCCAACCTGATGACCTCCCTGGCTGATCCTCACTCAGGGGCAGGGGCACCCCAGCCTCAGCCTCTGGTCCACTTATTCCTCTGCCCATGAGCTCCTTCCCCTCGGTCAGGAGCCTTGAGGGACCACCTGACCCTGCCACAAAAAGACAGGCCCTCAAGGGTCCTGTCATTGAGCCCCACCCCCAGCCTTGGCCCAAAACAAACATCCCTTGGGCATAGGGGGTTTAACTTTTGCCCCCCAAGAGGCAAGCTTAAGGAGGGAGGGAATGGGGCTGGGGTCCTGCTAGGAGATCCTGTAAGTTCTGGGATTATGTTTTATAGAATATGGTCTCACAGGTCCCAGTCCAAGAGCCAGTTAGGGTCTTGTCCTGCCCTGGGCACTCAGATCCTTCAACGGTGGTCTCTTCCTGCTCTCAGCAATCCTTGGCCCCTCTGGCCCCCAGCCTTTTGGAGCGTTCACCTAGTCCTTTCTTCAGCTGATGTTTGTTGAGCACGGATTCAATGCCAGGCACCTCCAGGGTGTAAGGATGTGGTAGTTGACAAGACACGTTTCATGCCATCAGGAAGTCCCCAAAGTAGTGAGGTGGACTTTCAAGGACCAGAGTCTCAGACAGGAATGGCAAGCACCTGAGCCAAGGGTGCCCTGAGCCTGGCAACATCCAAGGGAGTTAGTGAATCTCCTAGCTCAGCTCCCCACAAAAGATGGATCAAAAAATGAAAGTTTAAGAGCCAGGTGTGAGAGAGGATGCTTTAAGAAAAATAAGAAATTTATGTAAAAGTTATTTTTTTAGTACCCTTTAAAAGAGCTAAAGCCATTTTACTAGTTTAGTATATAAAAATAGACTATTATTTGATTTCTTACAAAATGATTAAATACAGAAAATTACAATTTTAGGGGGAAAAGCTGGGAAAAACAGGAGGACATATTATCAAACTCGCCAGACAGGACTATTTCTTATCAGGCAAAGTCCTAAGCCGTCACCATCAGCAGTTTTTGCTGCCTCTCTTTGATCACTTTTTGCAGTTTCACAATGGCCTCCCTACTGCACACTCACTCTGGTTGGGAGCTGACTTCAGAAACAGACAAGGCAAGGATTGCTCAGAGTGCACCGAGTGTGTGGCCCACTTCTTGGCACTTCACTCCTAGATTCAGGCTAGCTTTGGACTTGAGCTCCTCCTTTTACCACTGCAGATGCAGAAGGAGCTGGAAAAAAAGGACCAGCCTGCCACAGTTCAGGCTCCCCCAGTCTGCACTTGTGGACAAAATGCCTAAAAATGGGCTGGACATACTCCATGTGAAAGGCTTTTCCTAACCCACACCCTACATCTGCCAGATAACTCGTCACCTTCCAAGTATACTGGCTTTGCTTTCTGGTTTTGGATCCGTGAGCTATCGACACCTGCATGCTTTGACTGCCAGAAGAATTTCATCTTGCTTTTTCCACAAGGCTTTCACTTTACTTTCTCCTGTACTCCTGCTCAGAAATTAGCTTTGATGTGCCGTGACAGCTGACTTCCTCTTGAACTGCAGGGGAAACACAACCTAGTACACAGGTGCTGTCAACCCAGGGTGGGAGAAGGGAATGAAGGCCAAGGCGGGGGTTGCATCTGCAAGAAAGAGGCTCAGTACATGTCTTACTACTGAGCGCTCAGCTGTGCTGCCTTTCAGCAGGTGGGGACACTGAGTTTTGGCCCCCAGCCCTATTGGGCCTTTCCTCTTACAGCCTTGGAGGTACCAAAACCATTAGCTTGCGCCCTCTTTCTGTCCTTCTGTTTCCATCATCCATCCACATGGTGAGGCTGGGAAATTCTCACCCTCAGACGGTAGCTAGCAGTTGTCTATCCTGCAATGTTCCCAGGAATGTTCTCTTACTCTCCAGGGCTGGCTCTTTGGTGTGTCTTGTGCTGTCGGTCAGCACCGCAGACACGTAAATGCTTTTACAACCTGTCTCAGCTGGGACCTGAATCTACTGATGGGGGTGGCTTCTCTCCAGAAGATGGAATCTAGCCTTGCTCACATACACACAGAACCGCATAGCGTTCAAACGCTTGCCCTCTAGTCCATCACATTCTGTCCCTGCAGCCCAGGGAGGTTGGCAGGGGGAGTGTTTCATTCTCTTTCTTGGTACCTGGAAGCTGGGGTTCAGAGAGCGGGAGTCCCTTCCGTGCTGAGACTTAAACCCCAGACTCAGAGAGCTTCTTCCCTTCTCTTGGCTGCTCATTTCTCTCTGACTCCAATATACGGAGGCTAACTGTGGGGCCGACCAAATTACTTTTATCCTTTGTAAGTTTCCTACTCAGAAGCTTTCGAGGCTACAGTCTTGCAAAAGAAGGAGAAGCTCGGTCAAGTTTTCACAGTTTCCTGTTTCCCAAGACCTTTCCAAGCATTCTGTACCCTGCTTCTGGGCAGCTCCACTAATATGCTAAGGCTGTTTGAGGAGGCGTCTGACTCAGGACCCTGGAAGCATCTTGTATTTTTACTGCCATCTTCCTCTAGAAGAGAATCGCTTTTTGTTTTTCTGAAGCTGGGCAGGCAAGTAGTACCCATGAGAGCATGTTTGATCACTCCAAGCTTCTGGACACATAAGCATGAGTGTGATATTTGCTGGTCAGGCCAAGTATTCTCAGCAGAGTGGCATAAACAGGCAGAATGTCAGGCCATGGTCTAAGACCACCATCTTGCTGAAGGGAGGAGCCAGCCATGGGCCAGATCGTGCTCCTGCATGCTCCTGAGTATCTCACGAATTATGTGTCCAGGAGTTTCCGTGGTTGAGCACTAGCCCTGCCTTGAGAAGACACACATGTCTCCCCTCCCAGCCTCAGCTGAGAAAGCCTGGCCACACAGCACAGATTTATCAGGGCGTTACTTATGACTTGCACCAATGCAAAAATAGCCAGACAGTTCAGACCTTCATATATCCAAAATCTCCTTTCAAACTGTCTGCCTTAGAGAACTCGGTGAATTGCAAGGTCCCAGACTCCGCCTTCTCACATTCTCTATCCTCATTTGCCCTTTAGGGTTCCATGAGGACCCCCTTATTTGCTGTCTCTAGGAGTCATCGGCAAGGCTGTTCATGATTTCCACTGGAGTCTTCTGAACTGTAGTGAGGGATTCCTAACTTCTCTGAAGTCAGAAGTTGGGAGAAAATAGGTTCACGAGCAAGGGCGTGAAATTGCTTTTCTTTCTTTTTTTTTTTTTTTTCCTGGCCATGGCAGAGTCTCATCTTGTTGCAGAGAGACAGAAAGTGAAAGGGAGGGATGTGGTGTGGAGGGGAAGAAAGGAACACGAGAATGGGAGAAGCAGCTGGGGTTTTGAGGCAGGGTAGTAAGCTTGCCACTGTAAATATTTTTACACAAAAATGTACTAAAGCAACAAATATTTCCCGAAGATCCACCCTGGGTGAGGCTTTGTGCTGACTTTAGAAATCACTGTCGGGCAGGAATACTTATCTTGCATATTTTATTCATCATTCTTGAACAAAGAAATCATTGAATCGTCCAATGAAAGGTTTCGGACAAGTGTTGGATTTTCTTTCTGAAATGTCCAGGGTTTCCTTTTCCTTTGCCAGAGTGCAGGAGTGGAACTTGAGTCTCCCCGGGTGGAAGGTCCTTCCTGCTCAGTGCAGGTTGGGGGAGGCCCAGGACTCTCCAAGCAGCAGGAGCAAGGAGGCCTGGGGACACAGGAGGGCTGAGTGGCAGAAGGGAGCCCTGGGTTCCCCAATGTAGCCCCCTCCCCGCTCCAGATGGGCTACTTCTGGCTGTGTCCGCAGTGGCTGTCCTCACTGTTTATGCTGTGCTGTGTGGTGTGTTTTTCCCACTAACAGTGAAATAAAAGACGTGACTGAGTTGGGGTGTCTGCTTCCTGACTTGGGGTAGGGCGGAGGGGAGGGGAAAGGGGGAGAAGAAGCCTGGGGAATCTCACACATGGTGGGGTTTCCTCAGGAGTCCCTGGTTCCAGATTCCCACACCCTCATCCCCTCCCCAACACACTGTATCAAGATCCAGCAGATCCTGACAGTCATTCCCTCTGGTCTCTTACAGTCCCAGTCCTGCAGTGACAGGATTTGATGGGCTTGTCTTAGCTTTTCAATGGGGGCGGTTCTGAGATGGGAATGCCTCCCTTGGCCCAACTATCTGGCGCCACACTTGCTCTCTGGTGAGCAGAGGAGTCCCCCCACCCCAACACAATAGGAAGCTAACTTCTTCCTCTGACTGTGGAAGGCTTCACTCTGCATTGCATGGGTAGTGGCCAGTGGAAAGAAAGACCCAAAGTCAGGGTTGCAGTGAGTCCAGGTGGGGGTCTCTCATACAGTTAGGAAAAGGCACCCCCTCCAGTAGAGCAGCCCCGTGGTACACAGGTCGGTGGTGGCTGGCACCTCAGGCTAATCTGAAAAAGTACACCTCCTCCTGGACAAGAATTGCTGTGTTGTGCCAGGGCACCAAGCAAGGTCAGTGAGCACCGGTTTCAGACCCTACCTACGCTGCTGGCCAGGCAAAACCTATTTCACGAGTACCAGGAGTGCAGCCCAGAGCCCCATCACCCCCTCTACTCACCCCACTAGAGAGCAAGTGAGTGGGTGGAGAGATGAGCCCTAGCTTCCAGACACAGCATCCCCTGCAGAGTCAGGGGGCGTGGCCATGGAGGCACCTGCTAGCACTCCATTGTGCAGTCGTGTCCTGTGTTTCCTCAAGGACACTTGGGGGTGGGAGTGCAGCTCCCTCCACAGGAAGCAATTAGGGCCCAGGAACGCAGCTGACCTGGCCTTGGGGCAGCCATGACCTCCGGAGGTGACTCAGAAGCCTGGGCTTGGGGCTGCTATTCCTGGTTGAAACCACACAGGGGCTGGGATGGAAAGTCCTGGCCCCAGACTGCCTGGAGGGGCTCAGGTCCCTAACTCCTTTCTCTCCAAATCTCCCCACTCAGGTGCTCCAAGGCCTGGTTCAGCCAGGCGAGGCCATCTCCTACATTTAGTCTTCCTCTCCCCTCCACTTAGCGGCCACCAAGAAGCACAGATGTGACGTGTCTGCTCTTCCAAGGCCCTTCCCCTCCTGTGGCCCCCTCCCTTCTCTGGCCCCACAAGGTGTGGCTGACCTGGGAAACCTTGATCTTCCTCTGATTTCCTTCTCTTGCACCTGTACTTGAGCCTGTGAGCAACCCCCCACCTTCCCTAGGCTACCTGGGCTTCTGAGCTTAGACACAAGCCTCCACGGGCCGCTCCTGCCCCTGTCCCCAGCACACGTTACTCCGTGAAGCCCTCTGGACTCTTCAGCAGGGGCCTTTGTGTGCACACCACCCCATACAGTCCACAAACTGTGACTCTGCCAGTTGAGCGGAGTGCAGGCAGCTCAGTGGCTAAATCTTTGCCTTGCACCCCAGAATCCCATGTATATGGGACTCCAGTTCGTGTCTTAGCTGCTCCACTTCCCATCCAGCTCCCTGCTTGTGGCCTGAGAAAGCAGCAGAAGGTGGCACAAAGCCTGCACTTGCATGGGATAAATACATAAACAACCTTTTAAAAAATATTTATTGACTGTTATTTGAAAGTCAGAGAGGCAGATAGAAACAGGCGGCCACTGACGGCTCCCTAGGCTGGTTTAGTCCTCAGATGCCTGTAACTGAAGCCAGGAGTCCAGATCTCAACCCAGGTCTCCCACATGGGTGGTGGCAGGGACTCAAGCACTGAACCATCACCTGCTGCCTCCAAGGGTACGCATTGGACAGAAACAAGAGCTGAGAGCAGAACCAGGACTCAAACCCAGGCATTCAGGATAGGACCTCCCAACTGGCATCTTACCCACTGCACCACATGCTCAGCCCCTCTGTGTTTATTATCTTGGAGACAAGAAAATCAAGCCTCAGAAAATGGTAAGTCTGGGACTTGAACTAATGCCTAACATCAAGGCCATAGGTTCTTATACTTTCCCAGCCATGGGGGTGAAGAAAATCAGAATATGAGCTGGAGCAGTATGAACCGGAGCAATACGAATAAGAGCTTATCATGCTAACTAACCCTCTGCCTGCAGTACCAGCATCCCATATGGGTGCTGGTTCATGCCCCAGCTGTTTCATTTCCCATCTAGTTCCCTGCTAATGCCCCTGGGAAAAGCAGTGGAGAATTATCCCTGCACCCATGTCGGAGACCCAGAAGAAGCTCCTGGGTTCGGAATCAGCTTGGCTCTGGCCATTGCAGCCATTTGGGGAGGGATGACCTCAAGCAGGAAGTGGCATCTGTCTAGCGCCTTTCCCAGACTATCCAACAAGGCCGGGCATGCTGGAGCGGGACTGCTAGGGGAGCCGTGCGGAGCAGCAGTCCTGGAGTCACACTCAGAGAGGGTTCTCCCAGTTGACTCATCCGAGCAAGTGCTGGGCCCAGAGGGGATGGGCTGGCTGCAGTTCAGGAACACTCTGCCAAGGAATCCGTGTGCCCAGCCAGCCGCCTGCAACTGCATTTTACAGCCTCCGCGGTTTCCATTTCTGAGGCTGATTGGTCAGCTCCCTAGACAGAGGGATTTGGTGTCCACCTCCATGATCACCTGTGCAAGCCAGTCATGCCAGTCAGAGGTCACCAGAGAGCACAAGGATAACTCTCCTGGGCATCAAGAGCTCAGCTACCACCCAGACAACCAGCCTGTCCCTTGAAGTGACCTCATCTGTCCCCTGTGTGAGCCCCGGAGAACAACTGACTGCTTCCTGGAGCTGTGATTGGTCATCACTCTCTCACAAGGCACCCCATACTCCGTGTGCATCAAACAACAGTGTCTCAGGATTCTGCGGTTTGGCTGGGTTGCCCCGTGTGCTCTTGACTGTAGTTGTCCATGCCAGCATGCAGGAAAGTTGCAGTGGCCTCACTCCTGGGCCTGCCAACTTGTGCTGACCATGGCATTGGAACCTTAGTCGCAACGTTGGCCCTGGAGCCACTTGATCCGCTTGTGTGGTCTTCCCAACAGGCTGGCCCATACTAGTAGCTAGCTTCCAAAGGGCAAAAATCTGCAAGGCCTGTTAAGACTCAGATTTGGGGCTGGTGTTGTGGTGCAGCACAGTATGGGTTTGAACCCAGGCTGCTTCACTTCCAATCTAGCTTTCTGTGATGAATGTGCCTGGAAAAGCAACCGAGGATGACCCAAGTCCTTGGTCCCTGCAATTCACATGGGATATCCAAATGGAGTTCTGGGTTCCAGCCTGACCCAGTCCTGGCTGTTGCACCCATTTGGTGGCATAAACCAGTAGTTGGAAGATCTCATTTTTCTCTCTCTAATTCTGCCTTACAGATAAATAAATAATTCTTTAAGGGGACATTACTATGGTATAGTAAATAAAGATGTCTCCTGCAGCACCAGCATACCATTTCCGTTACCAGTTTGAGTCCCAACTGCTCCACTTCCAATCTAGCTCCCTTTGGTGCATGTGGGAAAGCAGTAGAACATGACCCAAGTGCATGGGCTCCTGCACCCATGTGGGAAGACAGGAAGAAGCTCCTAGCTCCTGGCTGCAGACCAGATGAGCTCTGGCCATTGAAGCCATTTGGGAAGTGAATCAGCAGATGAAAAACTTCTCTCTCTGCTTCTCTGTGTCTGTATGTCTCTCCCCACTTTTTGTAACTCTGCATTTCAAGTTTGGAAGTGCCACAGAATCACTTTTATGGCATCCTGTCATCAAAACAGATTTAAAGGATGTCACAGTGGCACAGCAGGGTCAGCTACTGCTTGGGACACAGGCATCTTGTATCAGAGGCTGCTTCTAGTCTTGGCCCCTCTGCTTCTGGTCCAGCTTCTTACTAACACACATCGTGGGAGACAGCAGACAATGAATGCCTCAGGACCCACAAGGAAGACCACATGTAGTTGCTGCTCCCTGACTTCAGCTTGGCCCAGCCTAACCCTGGCTCTTGTGGGCATCTGAAGAGTAAACCAATGATTAAACAATTCTCTTCTCTCTCTCTCTTTCTCTCCCTGTCTCCCTTTCTTTCTCTCCCTCTCCTGTTCCCCTCCCCTCCCCTCTCCACCATTCTGCTTGTCAATTAATTTTTTTTTTCAACAGAAAACAGAGCCTGGAGTCCACCTCTGGATAGGATAGTCCCAGTCAACTGCCAAAGAACATGCTGGAAGGGAGAAGTTTGAGGGCTCTCCCGGAAAGCAGTCTACAGTACCCCCAATCCTAACGTATTTATCATCAGGATTCCCCCTTCCTTCCACACAAGGTCTGCTTGGTTCCTCCCAGAACACCTTACAGGCCAGGCAGATCTTCCCACCCCACCTCAGGCTTGCCTGGCTAAGCTGCTGTTTCCTCTGGCGCTGCCACCCAGCTGTGCACTGTGCTGCGATGACACTCGTCTGCCCCCTGGTCTGTGCCTGCTGAAGGGTAGTGCAGGTGTCGGCGCTCTGGAAGCAGCACAGGGCCCTGCGCCCGGCGGGGCAGTGTCTGGAATACACTGGGTGGTGCTTCCAAAATCTTCATCCCGAAGCCCACCTTGCAAGCCTGCTTCGCTCCCTGCGCAGCCCGGCGGAGGAACCTGGGAGCGCGCGTCCTCTGCTGGCTGCTGGAGGGCCAGCAGGAATCTGGGGTCTGAGTCCCTGAGCGTCTTTCCAGCTCTGGGTCGCTGGCCGGGAGGAGAGGAGCTGGGTCTCTCCCCTTGGCGTGGAAGCGTTGCCCGGCTGGACCCTTCTGGCGTGCTCCCCACTCGGAACGGGATGATTTAGGCTCTCAGATAAGGGGACACACACCGCGAGGTCTCAGGATCCCCGCCACGAGGAGAAACAGAGGCGACTGGCTTAGGTTGGACGGGCTGGGGAGTGGGGGTGATTCAGGAAGAGAACCACAGCTTTTCGTTTTCTGTCTTGGGAATGACAGCCCCGGGAAGAGAAAAGTTATCAGGCCCCGTATCTCTCGGCGCCCTTGATCGTCGTCCCGGCCCTCGCGGATCCTCAGGCCCCCTCCTCCAGGAAGCCAGGGAGTCACCCCAGCCCCACTAGCTTAGGGCATGAGTCGGCAGGGGAAGGACAGCTCGGCGGTGCCCACTGCGCGCACCGCGCCACGGACTGCGTCCCCGGCACCCGCCCCGCCCCCGGCGCCCGGCGCCCGGCCACCCTCCCCGCCGCCCGCATCGGCTCACGCCCGGGGCGCAGCTCGCCTCCTACCCCGGCCGGGCGAGCTCCGCGTCTCTGCCGCGCCTGCCGGAGCCGGGCGGGCTCAGAGCCCGAGAATGGACGCCGAGGAGCCACGGGAACCCCGAGAGCCCGGGCCTGGGGCAGAGACAGCGGCAGCGCCACGTTGGGAGGAAGCCAAGACTTTCTACGACAACGTCGCACCCAAGAAGAAACCCAAATCGGTGAGGACAGGGCACGGGTTTGGGGTGTGTGTGCTGGGGCGAGGGGTGAGGGTCATTCCGGAGGAGGGGTCGCCAGCACACCCCCACACCCTCAGGGTAGGATCCTGTGGCTCGCAGCTCCTAGGGTCCGGAATGCGCTCTGCATTTGTCGCGGGCTTGGGTTTATTTTGGGAACCCTGTTCCCCACCCCCTCTCCGGCCCCAGGCTTGGGTTCTATGCTAGGATCCCCCTCCCCCATGCTGGCATCAGGGCCCCAACCCCTCCCCGCGCGGGCAGCACTTGTTGGCCAAGCTGGGCACTAGCACGACCTATGCGCTCAGGGCTCGGGTAACCCAAGTCTGGAAACCTCTCTCCTAGCTGTGCGCTCCGCTCCGGGCCAGCGGAGGCATGGGGCTCCAAACTGCTGCCTCTAGCGCCCGGGTCGGCGGGCAGCGGGCACCGCGCTCGCCGCGTCCTGAGGGTTCTGTGCCCTACCTGGGCTCCCAGTCCCCCCTGCTTCTGGGTTCCCAACGCTGACTCTGCGCCCCAGCTTGGGGCCTCTTTGGCAGGGAGCGTTAACACCCTCCTGACTCTGGCAAGGGTGTCTGCTCTCTGAGGCCTCACACGGGTGGTGCGGGGGGGGGGTGCCTTTCCTCCACATAGCAAGTTCATAGTGCCCTGAACGCCCCCCGGGCCTTGCTCACTCCCACCTGCCAGATCTCAGAGCTTGAAGAGGGGACTGAAGACAGGTGCTGGTCCACTCACATCCTCCACATAGCTCTAGCCTGTTTCCCTCTCAAAACCTTGCCCCTGTCAACAACAGTCCCTCCCTGGGCATCTGCAGGCCTCTGGCAGCAGTGGGAGGACTAGGACATTGAGGATGCTGAGTGTCTGTCTGGTGCACCCGGGAGGGTCTAGAGATGGTGGTTAAAGACCCTACAGGGATGAGTAGGCAGGCACATAGCTGGGAGACTTCCAGTTGGGGCTGGCTTTGTGAAAGGGGCATTTGAGCTGACCTCATGATAGAGTTTCCTGGGCAGAGAGAGACGAACAAGACCGAAGAATGCATAGAGTCGTCTTGGGACTAAGAGCTGTGTCAGCCAGGGAGTATGCAAGGGTGTTGGAGAGGAAGGGGGAGTTTGGGCGAGGGGAGCTTGTGGAGGACCTTGAGTGCCCTGTTTAGCAGTCCTCAAGATCGGCTTCTGTGGAGCCCCACGTTTCCAGAAGTGAACACACACAGGGTCAGATCTCCTCTTCTTTCTGTGTCTCAAATGATTAAAAATGTGCACGAAGACTCAACGTCCTGAAGATGTTAGATGGAAGTGTTAGCATCTTGGAGACCATGAGCCAACTAAGCTGTGGTTAAATAAGCTGCCAAGTTGATTGTTTACTTATTTATTAGCAAACTTCAGGCTGAAGCTCCGTCTGGGATGCTCCATGGGTGAGCATCCTGGCATTGCCAAGCCTGTGGTTCAAAACTACATGAAACAAAAAGCTTTTTATTGTTTGCAGCCAGCTACCACGGGGAATCAGGACTTTCTCAAGCCTGTGGGGAAATGCAGGGATGGATTGGAGGGGTGCTGAAGCCAAGGGGTGCTCTAACCCCCTGCTTTCAAACTTGTCAGCCAGACAACTGGGTGGCTTTTCTGAGCTGCCTCTGTAATCAACATAATGCTCTAAATGTGAAACGCTTGAACTTGTAAGATACATTCATACCAATTATCTGTAGCAATGTCTGGTTTGGAGTTCTGCCCAACCATTCATTTGAATAAAATGCTTTCCAAAAGCATGAGAACTATAATGGGGCCACTGTAGGATTTTTCAGCAGGGGATTACCTTCGTCCCATTTTCATCTTTGAAAGAGCGTTCTGGGGCAGAGGGGTCGGAAAGACACATCAGTGAGACACAATGGCCCCTGTAGCCGGTAGAGGAACCTGGCCTGATGGGAGAGATCAGGCCCCGATGAATGGCAGGTGGCAGATGCTCCCATGGCTCCAAATCCATTTCCTCCCCCAGGCGTTGAGGAAGCAAGTGGTCAGAACCAGTGCTCCATCAGTCACGACCCCCTCACTCAGCCGCTGACCCTCGCTGCTCTCTGGGAAGAAAAGAGCTAGGAGGCTTCCCAACTCCCGGCCCTTCTTGTACTGACCTCTCTTCCCACAGGCTATTTTGAGGGTTTTGGGGGCCTCAAGGGCCCCATCAGGTCTTGGCCTGGGCTGGCTCCTGTTCCTGGTGGCCTGAGGGAAGTATTTCACAGGGTGAAAGTCTCATGGAGGCCTTTATCTCCTGGGCTCAGAGAACTTCCTCTGGCCACAGCCATCCTGTCCAGCTCTCCAAGGCTTTCTGGAAAGAACAGCTTGTGGGCTATATTTGTATCTTGAGCTCAATAGGCAAAAATCAAGCTGGCCTCCGTGGGTGCTCCTGGACTGCTGGCTGGGGCCTGGGCTGCCCCTTCCTAGCCCCAACAGTATTCTTCCATCTCCTTCCATCTCCTTTCCCCACCTCCAGAGTGGTCAGCCTGGTGGGTGGCTTCCCTTGACCACCAGAACCCAGAGGCTCAGCTCCACTCCAGCTCTGACCAGCTCCCTCCACCTCCGCCCGTCATACCCTGCTGTTTCAGCTTTGGCAGGCTAAGATCCACATTCCACCCCACCCAGGAAGCCTGTGCCCTTTAAGCCTCCGGATGTCATTTCCTTCATGCTGCATCTGAGAAAGGAGAGAGAAACACACACACACACACACACACACACACACACACACCCCTTCCATCTACTGGTTCACTCCCTAAATGACCACAATAGCAAGAGCTGGGCCAGTCCAAAGCCAGGAGCCTGGAGCGTCTTCCTAGGTTTCTCAAGCACTTGGGCCATCTTTTGGTACATTCCCAGGCATGTTAGCAGGGAACGGGATCGGAAGTAGAACAGTTTCGACATGAATCAGTGCCCGTAGGGGACACAGGCATCACAGAAGGAGGCTGGACCTATACCACAGCACTGACCCTGCTTCCCAGTTTCTAACAGTGCCCTGTGGCTATGTGTGTCTTCACACCATGGAATGGACAAGGCAGCTCTCTGGGATCTCCCTCTCTCTCTTTAAGATTTATTTATATTGGAAAATCAGATGTACAGAGAGCCGGGGGTCTTGAGGGTCTGCCGCGCGAGTCCCTCCCCCAGGGCAGCACGTGGCCCGGCTACAGGTACTCCTGTGGGGTCTCTTTCATAAGGATGTTAGTCCCATCGTGAGTCCCCACCCTCAGGACCCAGTCATCTCCCAAAGTCCCTACCTCTTAATACATCACCTTGAGGGGTTAAGATTTCAGCACATGTATGTTTTCAAGGGAATACAAATGTTCAGACTACTGCCTTGGGGGAGGTGTTCCGAGGCTCTGAGAGAAGTCCCCTTTGCCAGCTAGCACCTGCCTTGCCTGCTCTTCTGGGCTCAGTCTCTCTCTCTCTCATTCTCTCTCTCTCTCTCTCTCTCTCTCTCTCTCTCTCTCTCTCACACACACACACACACACCTTTGCAAATGCTCTGTGTACACCTGCTCAGGCCTGCCTCAACCTCCTCTCTCTTCAAGAAGAATTTCTTCCAAGCCCCTCCCTGCCAGCTTCCACCTCTGCTCTGCCACTGGCTCATGCCTTCTGACACCTGAGGCCTCTGTTTACCCCTCTTGTTGGGGGCACCAAGAGCTCTGCAGGGCAGGAGCCAGCTCTGCCTGGACCGCTCCCAGGAAGGGCACAGGCACTCGGCACACAGAGCCAGCAAACGTTTGTCTCATCTGTATCAACCCAAAAAAGTCTCTGACTGCTTACTCTATAGCAAGCGCTATGAACAGATAAGCCAGATGCAGGCACTGCCCAGGGGTTTCTGGTTCATACCAAATACTGTTTCTCATTGAACTCAGTGACTTAAACATTCAGGGGGCAGGGCCAACACCCCCTGAAGAGGGTAAAGCTGCAGCCTGTGGTGCTGGCATCCCATATGGGTGCCTGTTTGAGCCATTTCCCTGCTAATGTGTCTGAGAAAGCAAGAGAGGATGACCCAAGTGCTTGGGCCCCTGCACCCAAGGTGGAGACCCAGAAGAAGCTCCTGGCTCCTGGCTTTGGACTAGCCCAGCTCCCTCTGTTGCAGCCATTTGGGGAGTGAACTGATGGATGAAAGATCTCCCTTTGTGTGTCTTCCCCATCCCCCATAACTCTTTCAAGTAAATAAATAAATATTTTATTATTATTATTATTTCATTTTATGACACAGTTCCATAGGCTCTGGGATTCCCCCAGCCCCTCCCCCCATATTGATTCCCTCCATACTGTTACAAGTAGTACAACTCGTTAACAGTCATAATTCCTTCATTGCAGGCATGGACCATGCACACTGTCCAGTACCTTATTGTCAAGATAAATGTGACAGTTTCAAGTGAGATTTTACTGAATTTTGTGAATTTTAGGATAATCCAAACAGGCTTATAACTCTAACAAGCCATGTGTTAACAGTTGAGGAGCAGAACAGTTTTAGGAGGGGTACACAGAGAAATCTTCAATACCTTAAAGAGGAGTAACTGATCTCTGTGTCCTACCTAGTAAGGTATATGGGAGTCTAAGCTGACGTTTTCTTGTCTGTTCTAAGCTTTCCTTATTGGTTTCTCTCTGTCTGATCTAATTTTGGGGGCTCCGGAGCGACCCTGATGGTCATTGCAAGAGGATGGGGCGCCAAAGTTGGAACTAAGTAAGGACCAGAGAAAGCTCCTCTCCCTAGTCCCGAAGGAAGTTTACTATTCTGTTTCTGAGGACCGCCTGGGGCTCCTGGCTGTGTGAGGAGGGTTCTGGGCTTCTTCCATCCCACGTGGGAGATCCGATAGGGAATGGTTGACCTCGGAGTTCTAGATCTATGAGGGCACTCCAATTCCCTGTGATCTCCTTGACAGTTGGGTATGGTCCTTGGTGCCCATACTGATTGCCCTTGATGAGGTATCCACTGCTTCTGCAGTGAGAGCATTTGGGAGGTTACCAGGGGTCTCCGGGACTAGGATACAAACCTCCTCCTGTCCTCCTGTTCCACTCTGGGATCCCCTCCTGCTCTGTGCGTATGACCTCCTGTTAAGAGGCAGTCAGGATCACTCTTGGATCCCACTGTATGTCTTTATAGTTTTTGCTAATGTCTAATGCAGTTTCGAGTCTGCCATCTATAAGTTAACTGTTACAATCTTGATAGATTATACTTAACATCTCCCTCACACACTCTAAGAAGGTGGAAGATTTCTCTGCTCTCCCGACGCATTGCGGATTAACAAAGGGTAATAAAAGCATATCAGGCTTTTCCGTTCTTTGATGTAGATCCTCTGGGGATTCCGTTTTCTCCAGGGGCAGCGTTACATTCGGGTGTTTGTTGCACTTCTGTGTTCAGTGGAATCATAGGGAAACCCACAGTTTTTCAGGGGAATCCCTCAGAAAAGACTATTGACAGCTACGTAACTTTTGCTGTGGGTTATTAGTGTTCCAGGATACCAATCCTTTAGTTTTTTTTTAAGATTTATTTTTATTATTTTTTTTATTGGAAAGGCAGATATACAGAGAGGAGAGACAGAGAGAAGATCTTCCGTCCGATGATTCACTCCCCAACTGAGTGCAACTACCGATGCTATGCCGATCCGAAGCCAGGAGCCTCTTTCAAGTCTCCCACGTGGGTGCAGGGTCCCAAAGCCTTGGGCCGTCCTCAACTGCTTTCCCAGGCCACAGGCAGGGAGCTGGAAGGGAAGCGGGGCTGCCGGGATAGAACCAGCGCCCACATGGGATCCCGGGCCTGCAAGGCGAGGACCTTAACCACTTGCACCACCACGCCAGGCCCACCAATCCCTTAGTTATTGTATCTACACCGGAGCTTGTAAAGTCTTATCAGTGAATGTAGAAAAATGTTTATCAGCAGGGGTGTTCGAGTCTCCTTGTGGCCAGTTTTAAAAATTAAGTGTTAAAAGGCTAACTTTTGACAGTGTTACCATAGGCAGTCTGTCTCTCATTGATTATTGGTTCATTGGTAACATCACTAAAACATTGGTTCATTGGTACATTGGTAACATGATTTAAAAAAAAAATCTGACAACACTGAAGGTTTACCTACATGTACTAAAGTACTGATAATACAATAACAACCATGATATTCATGGCTCCTGCTAATTCCCAGACAATGTGAGCAGAATAAGCTATTATAATTGAAGCAGACCCACGGATGAGCTCCTGGATGGACAGTAAGGTGGGGAAGACTTCAGAGATGGCATGTGGTTGGAGAGTCAGATTGAATAGCAATTAGCTGAGCAGAGTCCAGCAGAGAGCACTAGGGGAACAGCATGTGCAAAGGCTCAGAGAAAGAAGCGTCAGAAGGGGCAGGTGGAAGGAGAGGTTGGGGTCTCTCCAGCTGCCCTCTTTATTCTGGTCTGAGTTTAACATCCACAGAAGAGGTGGGTTGTGATCAAATCTGAACTTTAGAAAACTCCCGACAGCAGCGTGGACCACAGATTGGAGCAGGTGAGCGAGGCAGAGATACCAAGCAGAGGAGGTGGAGGCGGACCAGTGCTGGGGTCTCAGCTGATGGAGAGGGGGCTGAAGTTGATTTCCAGGTAACAGTTGGAGTTCTGAGGGGAAGGAGCAGGAAGGGAGTAGGTGAAGTGGCGGCGTCTGCGGGTCAGAGGCACGCAGCTCAGCAGGCAGGTCTGAGCTGGAGTAGCGTTTCTGGGCACTGTCTCGCCCCGAGGGTGTATAACCCCCATCTGCTAATGGGAGCCATCTGGAGACCATGGCAAGTGTTTGTTTTCTTGTCATGTCCAGATGGCCACGCAGATTGCTGTCCTCGTCCCCGAGGGCCTGGCCCCCTTCCCATCATGCTCCTAGGTGGGGAGCCATCCTTTCCCTCCCTGCCCTGACCTCAGTCTGCCCCTGCCCCAAATGGACCCTCTTTAGGGGCAGAGACTGGACCCGGGTGTCTTCTTCTGCAGGCCTGCAGAGGGGCTTGCCCGGGAAGGGGTGGGTCTGAGTGACATGGTCTCTCTCCTGCGTGTGCGCATGCAGCCCAGGCCCCAGAATGCGGTCACCATCGCCGTGTCCTCCCGAGCCCTGTTCCGCATGGACGAGGAGCAGCGGATATACACAGAGCAGGGCGTGGAGGCCTACGTGCGCTACCAGCTGGAGCACGAGAACGAGCCCTTCGGCCCTGGGCCTGCCTTCCCCTTCGTGAAGGTGAGGGCCAGCTTGCACACCACGGCCTCTGTTGGGGCCAGTGTGAGAAGAGCTCCCGTGGTGTGGGTGGAGGAGGAAGGGGGCCTCTCTGGATGCATGCAGCCTGGCTCAGCTGGAGGAAGAATCTTCCCAGGCGGGCAGAAGGGCTACCTTTAGTAAACTGCTTGCACGCAGCAGGGCCTCTGCTCCCTGCATCACTGAGGCCCTGGCCCCCAAGGGTCGGGCATGGATTCCAGAAGGTGTCCTCGGCCTCCCAGGCTCTGGAGGCTGTGAACAGGCGGCTGCGCGAGCTGTACCCAGACAGTGAGGACCTCTTCGACATCGTGCTCATGACCAACAACCACGCTCAAGTGGGCGTCCGCCTCATCAACAGCATCAACCACTACGGTGAGTGCCAGGGCTTCCATGCCAGGACTCCCTACCACATGGCCCCAGGAAGAGCTCCCAACCCTGCAGAGGGAACCCCATGCCCCGTGTTGGGTTGTAATCTGGCTCTTCATACAGACCTACCAGATTTGTAGGAGTCCCAGTTTTCACAGGGTGCATCTCCCCACCGAGTCGATTTTAAACTCCTTAACCAACTCTCAACATTGTTTTAGACTTATTTTGTTTTTGAAAGGCAGAGTTAGAGGGAAAGAGAGACATCGTCCATCTTCCTCAAATAACTGGAGCTGGGCTAGTCCAAAGCCAGGAGCCAGAAGCTTCTTTCTGGGTCTCCCATGGGTTACCCTGTGCTGCCTTTCCAGGCTGTAAGCAGGGAGCTGGATCGGAAGTAGAGCAGCCAGGACTTGAATCAGTGCCCATACAGGAAGGCAGCACCAAAAACAGTAGCTTTACTGGCTGTGCTACAGTACCAGTCCTGAATGTGGGCTCTTGCAAGCCAGCACAAACAAGCCAGCTCCAGGGCACGTGACATGAATCCTGTTCTCCGTGATTGGGGTGGACACTTCTGCCCTTTTGCCTAGGTGTCTAACTGGGAGGGGGCTGCTGGGAGAACCAGATGCAGTTGTTAGAGCAAAAGGGCTATCTATCTAAGACCAAGTTCAGTATGGAAAGACATGGACTCTCTGGAGCCAGTCTATATGGCAAAGAATCATTTCTCATTAGGTTACGGAGGTGTCTCAGCACCATGGGGCAGAAGCCAGACTGGGCCTACAAGGTCCTGGATCCAAGAAGTACGAATCTCCCCCTGTTATTCCCCGTGGGCCACGTGAGCCCTTAATGTGCTCTGCTAGCAAGTGTATGCCTTCCCTCCCCCACCCCCATCTCTCTCTCTCTCTCTCTCTCGCTAAACTGGATTTCTCTGCTTTTCTTGAATAGAAAATCATATCCAGGAAAAGCGGAAAGATCCAGTTTGGAGAGAGAGCGAAATGAACGCACATTTATGGCCCTTGTTTTAAGCAGCTGGGAGAATCTGGCTGACGTTTTACAAAGGTTCATTTCAAATGGCACTTCAAAATACTTAACTGCTTCTGTGACATGGGTACCTGCTGACCAGGACAGACACTGCCTATGTCCTAGGCAGGGCGCTGCACACCCTGGCCACACCTTCTGCTGTGCACAGTGGGGAGCAAAGGGAGCCTAGGGAAAGGGTTGGAGCACTGTGGGGAAACTCAGTGGGCTCCGAGCAGCACCTGTTTATCAACCAGCAAATATTTCATAGCCTGCACAGCCATGGGACCAGGTGCCTGAGAGGGCTTCTCATTGGGTTGGGGTCTGCATCTGTCCAATCCGTTGCCACTGAAAGGCAGGGTTGCACCTCAGGAGTGTTCCCCTGCAAGAGGGTGCCGTGAACCAGGCCACTGCATCAAGAGGTGATCATTTAGACTTCCTGGATAAAGGCTGGTGGGGCTCGGAGGAGGAACCACGATGGCAGCCCCTGGCCACGGAGCACCCCTTCTGAGGCCCTGAGGCTTTACTCTGGCCTCATCCGGGTCTCTCAACCTCCTCCCCAGACCTGTTCATCGAGAGGTTCTGTATGACGGGTGGGAACAGCCCCATCTGCTACCTCAAGGCCTACCACACCAACCTCTACCTGTCAGCCGATGCAGAAAAGGTGCGGGAGGCCATTGATGAGGGTAAGTGGACTCCCTCTGGGAGAGAGCTTGGGAGGGGGTTCTGGCAAAGGAGGAGCTGAAAGTGAAAGGCTAGGGGGTGAAGGCGGGGGGTGTGTGTGTGCCAGGGGTCGCCATGGAAACTGGAAGGTGTGGTCATCCAAAATTCCTACTGTCTGATTCATGAACTCTAAAGCTAAGACCCTAGCAAGTCCACTCCCCAACTCTAGCCCCACTTGGTTGCTCACCAGCAGCTCCCAGCCTCTGTCTCCATGGAAACCTTCCTTGCCACCCATGAAGGTGCCAGCTTCTAAGAGGCCTTCAGGTCAGCAGGAGGGAATTCTGACTTCTGTGGGACCACAGGCAGCCTCTGCCCCTCTCTGGACCAGTGGGGAGAGTCAGCATGGAAACGGAAATGGCCAGTGTTGCCAACAGCTGGGCTGGCCAGAGCTGAGAGGAGGTTAGCTGACCCAGCTGCAAGCGCTGATGAAGACCTCCCAAGTCTCAGGTGCAGGCCGGGTGGTCCCCATGATCTCAGTCCACCTGTTGCTCCAGGATCAGGACAAGCCCAGAGGAAAAGGGACTGAGCCCCCTCCCCTTCACACCCACACACAGCCTGATGCCAGTGGGCAACTTCCTTTACCAGTCAATAGCACAGTCACTTCCTCCCATGCCTTGCCTGCTGTCTCCTGACTGGAAGCCTGGCCTCTCTCCCCAGCAGCCCTACTCTCTCACCAGCTGCTTGGCAGCTCCACGAGGCTTGCTCTTACTTACTATTACCATTTGTAATTTACGCAACTAATTTGAAAAGCAGAGAGAAAGGGAAAGAGCGAGAGAGATCTTCCATCTGCTGGTTCACTTCCCAGATGCCTGCAAAGCCAGGACAAAGCCAAGAGCTACAAAACACAGCCTGGGTTTTTCACATGGAGGGCTTAGATCAACAGCTGCCTCCCAGGGTTTGCACACACATGCAGCTGGAATTGGAAGTGGAGCTATGACTAAAACTCACGCACACCAGGATAGACTGCAAGGATCTCAAGCAATATCTTAACCACAAGTGTACCCCCCAAGAGGCCATTTTTCCCAGACAGGTATCATGCTCTTGGGTGAGTGTCTTGGCAGCAGCATGTGGGTCTGTAACTTGACCTTAGGCTAGGCAGCAGGGCTTGGGAGGGAGGAAGGGAGGCCCTTCTCAGGGTGGTAGCACCTTTGGGTCACCTTGACTCTGACATGGCAGAGCCAAGACAGTACCTGGTCTGAAGCCCAGAGCCTGAGCCTGCCAGTAGCATCTTCCAGCTAATGACGTGGTTGCAAGGCTGACTCAGCTCCCTCCTCCCATGGCCCTCAGAAAGCCCTGCTTGTGAGATCCTGGATCCCCAAAAGGTGGGCAGAAAATGATCTGTGAAGAGGTGAGGGCTGCGGAGCGGGCTGCACAGCTGCCCAGGGCTTCAAGTCACCATGCTGTCTGGCACAGCTTGAGCCTGGACCCTGGTCCCCAGCAGGTGTCCATGGCTGCTGGAGGAGCCCACGGTTACAGAAGTTCTGTGTACACAGGCCTGTGCTGCTGCCCAGAGCACACTGTCTCATAACCAGGTGCCCAAGGAAGTGTACCTATAGCTATAGACCAAACAGGCCCACACCCACTCCACCCCACATAGCAGCCTGAGATGTCAGTCCCAGACAGAGCTAGGAAGATCTGCATTTTACCTTAGCCTGGAGGAGGCGAGGGAATGGCCAGGACCAACAGGGATGCAGTAACTGAGACCCTAAGGCTAAGTGTCCTCCCAACCCTTTGGCACCCCCCCCCAAGACCCTCCACAAAGTAGCGGCTGGAAGGATGCTAAGGCGAAGGCTGTCAGAGCCTGCTGCATAGCCTCATTACCATTTCCTTGGCAGCCAGTATCTGTGCACCTGCCAGTGTTGATGTGGTTGACATTTCTTCTCCCTGAGTCGTAGGTGAGCCTCTAGAGCAAGAGTTCTGGAGCAACCCTCCCCTGCTTGGACTGCAGGCAGGTGACACTGCCCCTCTCTGCCCAGGGATCGCAGCCGCCACCATCTTCAGCCCCAGCAAGGATGTGGCCGTGTCCCAGAGTCAGCTGCGCGTGGCCTTCGATGGGGACGCCGTGCTCTTCTCAGACGAGTCAGAGCGCATCGTGAAGGCCCATGGGCTGGACAGATTCTTCGAACATGAGAAGGCTCACGAGAACAAGCCACTGGCACAGGTGCTATGTCCACCCATTCCCACCAGCACCCTGAGGGTCAGGGACAGGGCAGGAACCTGAACCTTCAGCCCAGCCCAGCCTCACATTCCAGCTGGGTGCCCTGACCAAAGCTTGAGCCCTCATCCCTCTTGATGGACCTTGACTGTCCCCTGGGGGCATCCACCCTTCTCAGAACCCAGTTCCTTCACCCAAGTCGCATCCTGCCTTTGGAAGCCTCTTTTCTCTCTCTGGCCTCCTCTGCTGCTCTGAATCCCATGCTAAGGTCTTCATTGCCCCATTGAAGACCCCCTTTTGAGGTCTCTTTCTGCTCTGAGGGCCTCACCCTGAGCTCCCCCATCCCTACCCCCTGAGGAAGTATGCATCCCCCAAGCAGGAAGATCCAGCTGGGGAAGGGAGGGGTCCCAGGCACATCATCTGCCTTGTGCCACCTTCTGCCATCCTTTGTTTGGGAGCTCAGGGAACCCCTGTGCCCTCCACTCAGTGTCCCTTTGAGAGCAGAGTGTTCTAGAGCTCGGTGGGAAGTCCCTGGAATCTCTGGCCCTGCCAGGAAGCTCCTGCTGGGGCCTTTGTGTTATTTATTTGAAAGGCAAAGCAGTAGAGAAAAAGAGAGACTCTTCTATCTGCTGGTTCCTCCCTAGATGGCTGCAACAGCCAGGGCTGAGCCAGGCCAAAGCCAGGAGCCAAGATCATAGGGGCCAGAACATTTGAGTCATTTTTCTGCTGCTTTCCCCAGGCTGTTGGCAGGGAGCTGGGACAGGAACCAGTACCCATTAGGATACCACATCGCGAGTGGTAGCTTTACTTGCTGCATTGTAGTGCCAGCCCTTACAATGGCTATCCTGACAGAGTCTCCATCACGATGCTGCAGGGAAGCCCTGGTCCAAAGCAGACACCCCCATGCCTACCCTGCATGCACCAGGGGTCCATGAAACCCCCACCTGGGAGACTTGGGGGTCTTGCGACAGGTTCACACTTGGGCTTCAGGGAAAAGGTGGCATCTGGGAGGACCATGAGCTCATCCTGCTCCTTTGCCTGCTCACAGGGCCCCCTAAAGGGCTTCCTGGAGGCGCTAGGCCGGCTGCAGAAGAAGTTCTATGCCAAGGGCCTACGGCTGGAGTGCCCGATCCGCACTTACTTGGTAACGGCCCGCAGTGCAGCCAGCTCCGGAGCCCGGGCTCTCAAGACACTGCGTAGCTGGGGCCTGGAAACGGACGAGGCCCTGTTCCTGGCTGGTGCACCCAAGGGCCCCCTCCTAGAGAAGATCCGCCCACACATCTTCTTTGATGACCAGCTGTTCCACGTGGCTGGGGCTCAGGAGATGGGCACCGTGGCTGCCCACGTGCCTTATGGCGTGGCACAAGCGCCCCGACGAACTTCACCCACAAAGCAGGCCCCACCTGAGCAGTAGCCAAGCTGCCTTGCTCTGGGCTCCCCATTGCAACATGACGGACCCCACATCCTGTGGACCCTGTTAGCTCCTTCTGCATGTCTGCTTCATCCCCATGAGTGAGGGGACTTGTAGAAAGTCAGAGGTCTGGGCCAGTATTCTCACCATCCCTCCTTTTGGGCAAACACTGGGCTGTGATCCTGGACAAAATGGCTGGATCTCAGGGAGAAGCTGGTGGGGCTGAGGATCACAGAAGCCAGTGTGGTTGGAATGAAATCCAGTTCAGAGGCTGATGCCATGGCGCAGCAAGTTATGCTGGCATCCCATATGTGTGCCAGATCAAGCCCTGGTTGCTCCACTTCTGATCCAGCTCCCTGTTGGTGGCCTGGAAAAAGCAGTGGAGGACAGCCCAGATCCTTAAGCTCCTGTTCTCATGTGGGAGACCTGGAAGTAGCTCCTGGCTCCCAGCTTTGGACCCAGCCCAGCTCTAGCTGTTATAGCCATTTGAAGAGTGAACCAGCAAATGGAAGATCTCTCTCTCTCCTCTCTCTGTAGCTCTGCCTTTCAAATAAAACTAAATATTTTAAAAAAGAACGTCAAGAAACAAAACCAGTTCAGGGTTGAGCAACAACTTTTCTGAGAGGATCTGGCTCAAAGTTCTGCCCCAGTCTGAACTCCGTGAACTTTATCATGCCTCTCCCTTTGTGGGCCTCAGTTTCTGCATCTTTTAGGTGATTTTCAAATTTTCCTTTAGCCAAAGAAGCTTTGTTTTCTAAGAGTATCTTCTAAGAGATTAAAAAAAGAATTGGTTCAGTTGAGAGGCAGAGAGAAAGAGAGGGGGCAGGAAACTTCCATCTGCTGGTTCATTTCCCAGAAGTCTGAAATAGCAGAAGCTGGGAGCCTTAGTCCAGGTCAGCCACATGGGCAGCAGGGAACTCCCTCACTCACACCATCATGGCCTTGAAGTCAGGATGGGGTCGTGGATCAAGGCCAGACATGTGGGTCACAAGCACCTGCCAAGCCAACATCGACCCCCCAACTTGCCTTCTTTGAAGGAAGCTCTCTGTTCCTGGAGCAGCAGCTGCAATGAACAACATCTTTGAAGAGCATCTCTTAGGGTGAGTGAATTACACCAAGGCAGCCCGTCCTCTTGTCTGACCCAGACCCATTACCAGGCTTGACCCCCGGGGTAGAAGCTTGATTTCAGTCCCCCACCGGCCCCTCAGCCCAGTGACCTTTCTCAAATTGGCGAGTGCTCCATAGCAACCCTATTTATAATTTGATGTGTTTGGAAAGTACTAGAGATGACCTGTGAGACTGTCACCTGAGCTGTCAGGGCCTGATGGCTAGAAGGAAAGGGGCAAGAAGCATCAATTTCTCCTCTGGCCATCAGGGGGCACTGCAGGCTTTTTCTAGGGAGGAGCATTAGCGACGGGGCGACTCACGGTTTCCCTTATTTTTAACCCAAGTTCAGTTGTCCTTGTTCATCAAGCCACTGCCTCAGCCTTCATTACTCCAGTTATTGCCTCTTGCTGTGCAGTGGGCAAAGAGGTGGAGTGTCTGTGTCTGCTGTTGCAATGCATGGAGAGGAAACACAGCAACTCAATTAGTTGTTATCCAGGCAACTGTGAGGTGTGATATCACCAGTCGGGATCTGGTCTGAGACAAAGGGTACAAAGACATTGACCTCTTGCAGGGTGAGGAGGTAAAAGGTATACTAGCAACATTCTGCAGCCTTGGGCTGTGAGTGGGAAGCCTGCTGGAGCTGGCCTGCTAGCCCGACACTGGGGCTGCACCCTTGACTCCTGCACCCTGCCCCAGTGGAGAGATCCCCACTGGTCCCACCAGCCTCCTGTGTCAGGCAGCCAAGGCAGCAGCCACACACACATACCTCCTCCCTCCCATGCCTCCTTCCCCCTAGGAAGACCAAAGAGGAGCAAGCAGGTGCCTGTGTGGAGGCAGATCCCCCAGCTCCTACAAGGAATGCGAGTGGTGCCCGAGCGCCTAGTAAAAGGAACCTGGAGAGCAGGAGCCCAAAGTGCCAAGGGGCTGGGGCCGGGTGACACCAGTAGATTCAGCTCAGAATCTGAACAGGCACCGATTCTGGGTAGTATGTGGCAGAAAGATCACCCAGGAAGGAGAAAAGAACACAGAGGCGCTTCTTAAAATGAGCAAAGGATTAGGCAGGAAGGGAAGTGCTGGGCTGGCCTTGTGCTGTCAGGGCTGCAGGCTGCAAGCTGCAGGGCCCAGGGAAGAAGGTGAAGCTGATAAAGTCCCCAGCGGCCTTATCAGGAGACACTGGCATCATCCCACTCAGAAGGACACGTGATGGAGCTAGGCTGGCTCAAGGTCACGTTCATCTCACAGCCAGAATCGCTCTGACCAGCACAGCAGGCCTCAAGGTACAGGCCTGGTCTGCAATCCCCTATAAACCAGGGCGCCAAGCCTAGCCTAAGAACAGCCTCCAGGAAGTGACAAGGAGGCAGGAGGGCCACAGAGTCCCCTCCCTGTACCTTCAGCCGGGGCCCGGCCATGTGACGGCCATCTGCCTGCAGGATCAGAACTGTTCCCTTGAAGAAGTCTTCAGCCCCCACAGAGATGGTGGCCTAAGAAGCTGGTAGGGTTGGCCCTAGCCCAGGGCCAGACACAATGGCATTAGGCTGCCTGGCTCGGGCATGGCAAGGGGAGTCAGGTAGAGGGGACCCGCCACTGAGACAGCAGTACCAGATGTCACTAAACTGTGACAAACTCCAGGGATTCAGGGACCGATGAGGTCCTGCCCTGAGGGCCAAGCACTGAACACCAGCGGGAGGTGATCACGCTGGTACAGAAAGATAAGGGGCACAGACAGCCAGCCCAGGCTCTCAATGGAGCCACTGCTAGCAGTCCTGGACAGCTCTGGACGGTGCAGACACAGAAGCTCCCAATTCTATTACTGAAACCGCAGATGCACATCTCTGGCCTGGGAGAAAGCTCTCCATCGCCGCTGGAATAAAAGGCCCGAGGTCCTGTAGGCAGGCACAGGCTGTAGCCAGACAGGCCATCTGATGGTCTCAGGCAGGGAGGAGGTGGGGACAAGGAGCACCACCATTTGCGATGTCACCAGGAAATGACAAAGCCAGATGAGATCCAAAGCCCCAGGCCCTGCAGTGGGGCCAAGCAGCCAGCGCTTCTGAAAATCTGCACAGCACCTCGTGTTGAAGGCACCATGACCGAAGGAAGAGCTGCAGACCTCTGCCCTGGGCACAGGCTTGTGCCCTTGGAGAGCTGACATCCTGTGACTGCACAGCAGCCCCCTCCGCCACCCAAGGGTCCAGTCAAAGCAGCAGGGATATAGCAGAATATTCCAGAAACAAACAAACAAACAAACAAAACATGGACCCCAGCAAGCAGTTTCAATCCAAAGTCCATTTGGCATTGTGATCATACTCAGTTGGTGTGCACCAGAACTGTCAAACTCACAATTAAAACCTTGAAATACCTCCGTAACAGCAGGTAAGTAGCGCCGCTGGAGATCTCTGAGCGGCCCGCTGTGGCCCCAGCAGGCCTGGCACCTTCCACTGTGAACACTCCGTCTTCTTCCCACGACCCTGCCTCTCAGGGAGGCCGTACCAGCACTGTGGTCAGAGCCCACTCGGGTTTATGGCGTCCCAGCCGTGCTGCCCGAGGACATAAACTGACTCAGCCACACAGCACATAAGTGGCAGCGCTTGGTCTCAAACCCAAGTCTGGCTGACGCCAGGAACAGGCTCTCAACCAAAAAACTTCATAGAACAATGCAGATTATGAAAAATGCAGATTATGAATTTCCAACGTTTGTCTTTTAATTCCATTTTCTGTGGACTTCCTGGAGTCCCCTCACCGACTGCCACATGCATACCAAAATCAAGAGAAGCTTCATTCTGAGGCCTTTGCCAACGACATGCACCTGACACTCGTGGTGACTGCCTGCATGTTAGGACACTAGAGTGCATTGAAGTGGCAAATAATAACAGCCAGATATTTGCAGATTCCAACAAACCCAAGCTCAACAGAACTCATCTGAAGACTCCTGTTTTGGGTTAATGCTGGTTGAAGCAACCCGTAGACACCTGGGTCAAATCTGACCCAACTACTGCTTTTGTAAAGAAACCCTTATTGGAACAGAGTGAGGCATCTGTGGCTGCTGAGTCTGCAGAACTAAAAATTGTCCTTACCTAGTCCCTTCCAGGACACGCTTGCTGACCCTGGGGCAGCCCAGTCCTAGGTGGGATGTAGCAGGTCACATCCTCCTTGGCATCTGAGGGCAGAGGTTGGCCCCTCTGCTGGGGTTAGGATGTGGGGGCTCTATGCCCATCTGACCACTGACTGACAGCTAAGGTTTGAAGCTGCCACATTTTGTTTCTAAGAAACCCATTGTGACTTGGGGGTTTGACTTACGTGTTCCCTGCCAAGGTGTGCTGCTAGGGTTCCTTAGCCAGGAATGAGTCCAGCTGGCTGTCTGGCTGTCCAGCATCTGCCCCACATGAGTTGGTACTCCTGACTCATCGCTGGCCTCCGGGGCCCTCTTGGGCCATCATGAATGCTAGTTGGTGGATGGGTAGTACTTAAATACAAGGCTTGGACTAAAAGTGCTCAACATTGCCTAACAGTTCGTTCATCTGCTCTCTGTGGAAGCAGCAAGCTCTGCAGAAGAGGGTTACAGCATCCGAAGTTACCAATCAAGTGAAACATCAAACCCCAATAAGGCTGAAATGCACTTTTCTTATGGGGTAAGAGTGTGAGCTATGAACATACCTACTCTCGCAATGAAATTATGGATCAGAAGGTTCCAGAACCAGTGCAAGAGTGGCAAGTGTAGAAGCTGTCCCACCCACAGGCCCAGTGCTGCTCCACTATGATATTCTCTGCCACACCCATGCCTGACCTTGGAATCCTTAATCCAGCGTTCCAAGTGGCCACTACCAGTGGGTTGGAGCTGGTGTGGAAAATGAGACCTGTTTTTGCTCTCCATTGATTTGTAGGCAATAAATCCCTAAATGGTCATTCTCCAAGGCTGTGATGCCAGGATCTCACCTTCTATGGGCACAACACAAGGGAGAGAAGACAGGGTACCCAGGCTTGAAGTGAAGTACAAAACCTCCTCCCACCAGCTGGTGGCACTGCAGGCCAACCTTGCTGCTGGTGTTGGCTGGCTTCTCCTTGCTGGTTGCTGTGTGCTGTGCTGGACTTTCCCTCTGCCAAGCAGCTCTCTTCAGCTGTAAAGGACCTCGGGTGCTCTGCAAATGTTTGCCAACACATCTTTGTAGTGACCTGCTGGCTCTTGCCGATAGCCGCTGTGACTGTGTCTGAATCACATGCAAGTGTGCGTGCG